TTTCCTGGGATTGGGATCGGGGCTTTCCTGGGATTGGGATCGCGGCTTTCCTGGGATTGGGATTGGGGCTTTCCTGGGATTGGGATTGAGGCTTTCCTGGGATTGGGATTGAGGTTTTCCTGGGATTGGGATTGAGGTTTTCCTGGGATTGGGATCGGGGCTTTCCCATGTTTGGGATCGTGGTGCTTTCCTGGGGGTTCCCGTGTCCCCTGGGCCCTGTGGTTGGGCAAGGAGGAAAGGCTGAGTCAGCAAAACGGGCGTGGCTGAGTCAGCAAAACCGGCACGGCTGAGTCAGCACTTCCGCAGGGCTGGGCTGGTTCCCTTTTCCTGGGATTTGGGCTTGGGGGATCACGGCTGAGCCCCACGGGCTGGACCTGCCTCTCCCCTCTCCTGGGGTTTGGGATTTGGGGATCAGGGCTGTGCCTGCATTTCCCAATCCTGGGATTGGGGATTTTGGGATCAGAGTTATGCCTGCATTTCCCAATCCCAGGATGGGGGATTTTGGGATCAGGGCTGTGCCTGCATTTCCCAATCCTGGGATTGGGGATTTTGGGATCAGGGCTGTGCCTGCCTTTCCCTGATCCTGGAACTCTGGGCTCTGGGATCAGGGCTGTGCCTGTATTTCTGGATCCCGGGATCGGGGATTTTGGGATCAGGGCTGTACCTGCCATTCCCTGATCCCAGGATTGGGATTTGTAGGATCACACCTCTGCCTGCACTTCCCTGATCCCAGGATTGGGGATTTTGGGATCAGGGCTGTGCCTGCATTTCCCAATCCTGGGATCGGGGAATTTTGGGATCAGGGCTGTGCCTGCCTTTGCAGATCCCGGGATTTGGGATTTGTAGGATCAGAGCTGTACCTGCCTTTCCAGATCCTGGGATCGGGGAATTTTGGGATCAGGGCTGTGCCTGTCTTTGTGGATCCGGGATCAGGGATTTTGGGATCAGGGCTGTGCCTGCATTTCCCAATCCCGGGATTGGGGATTTTGGGATCAGGGCTGTGCCTGTCTTTGTGGATCTGGGATCAGGGATTTTGGGATCAGGGCTGTGCCTGCCTTTCCGGATCCGGGATTGGGGATTTTGGGATCAGGGATGTACCTGCCTTTCCAGATCCCGGGATTTGGGATTTGTAGGATCAGAGCTGTGCCTGCATTTCCAGATCCTGGGATCGGGGAATTTTGGGATCAGGGCTGTACCTGCCTTTCCGGATCTGCGATCAGGGATTTTGGGATCAGGGCTGTGCCTGCCTTTCCGGATCCTGGGATTGGGGATTTTGGGATCAGGGCTGTGCCTGCCTTTCCCAATCCTGGGATTGGGGATTTTGGGATCAGGGCTGTGCCTGCCTTTCCCAATCCCAGGATTGGGGATTTTGGGCTCAGGGCTGTGCCTGCCTTTCCCAATCCCAGGATTGGGGATTTTGGGCTCAGAGCTGTGCCTGCCTTTCCCAAATCCGGGATGGGGATTCCGGGCTCAGGCTCCCGTGCCCGCAGGTGCTCCGCCGGCACATCCTGGGCTCCATCGTGCAGAGCGAGCGCAGCTACGTGGACTCCCTGAGGCGCATCCTGCAGGTGGGGCCCGCCCGGGCTGCCCCGGCGCCGATCCCGGGATCCCGGCGCCGATCCCAGGATCCCAGCGCCGATCCCGGGCTGCCCCGGCGCCGATCCCGGGATCCCAGCGCCGATCCTGGGATCCCGGCGCCGATCCCGGGATCCCGGCGCCGATCCCGGGATCCCGGCGCCGATCCCGGGATCCTGGCGCCGATCCCGGGATCCCGGCGCCGATCCCGGGATCCCAGCGCCGCCGTTCCCGCAGGATTACCGGGACCCGCTGCTGGAGATGGAGCCCAAGGTGCTGAGCGCCCGCAAGTGCCAGGTGGTGTTCTTCCGGCTCAGGGAGATCCTGCAGTGCCACTCCATGTTCCAGATCGCCCTGGCCTCCCGCGTGGCCGAGTGGGATTCCAACGAGAAGATCGGCGACCTCTTCGTGGCCTCGGTGCGGGGAAAACGGGAACGGCCCCGCAATCCTGCTGGGAGCCTGGCAAAAAGTGGGAANTCCAACGAGAAGATCGGCGACCTCTTCGTGGCCTCGGTGCGGGGAAAACGGGAACGGCCCCGCAATCCTGCTGGGAGCCTGGCAAAAAGTGGGAACAGCCCCAAAATCCCACCAGGGGCCTGGCAAAAAGTGGGAATGGCCCCAAAATCCCACCAGGGGCCAGGCAAAACCTGGGAATGGCCCCAGAATCCCACCAGGGGCCTGGCAAAAATCAGGAATGGCCCCAGAATCCCACCAGGGGCCTGGCAAAAACTGGGAATGGTCCCAGAATCCCACCAGGGGCCTGGCAAAAACTGGGAATGGTCCCAGAATCCCACCAGGGGCCTGGCAAAAACTGGGAATGGCCACAAATCCCACTGGGATCCCAGCAAAAACCAAGAATGGCCACAAATCCTGGTGGGATCCCAGCAAAAACTGGGAATGGCCCCCAAAATCCCATTAAATAAAACAGGAATGGCCCCAGATCCTGCTGGGGTCACAGCAAAAACTGGGAACAGCCCCCAAAATCCCTCTGGGATCAGAGATTTGGAATCTCCCCTAAATGCCCCTGGAATCTCCTCAAAAACCTGGAGGTGCCCCCAGACCTCCCCAAAGATTGGGAATCTTGCCCCAAAACCCCCCTGGGATTGGAGACAGGGAATCACTGCCGGACCTCCCCGAGATCCCATCAGAACCTGAGAATCAGGAATCGCCCCAAAATCCCCCTGGGATCCCACCAGGGATGGGTGGAGCGATGGAGCCCAAACTAGGACAGCCCCAGCGCCCCGGACTTTGCCCACCCCGTTTTTTGGAAGCTCCACCTGATTTTTGGAAGCCCCACCCCATTTTTTGGGAAGCCCCACGCCATTCTTTAGGAAGCTCCACCCATTTTTTGGGAAGCCCCATCCCATTTTTTGGGAAGCCCCACCCCATTCTTTAGGAAGCTTCACCCATTTTTTGGGAAGCCCCATCCCATTTTTTGGGAAGCCCCACCCCATTCTTTAGGATGCCCCACACGATTTTTGGAAGCCCCACACGATTTTTGGGAAGCCCCAACCAGGTTTTGGAAGCTCCACCTGATTTTTGGAAGCCCCACCCCATTTTTTGGGAAGCCCCACCNTCCAACGAGAAGATCGGCGACCTCTTCGTGGCCTCGGTGCGGGGAAAACGGGAACGGCCCCGCAATCCTGCTGGGAGCCTGGCAAAAAGTGGGAATGGCCCCAGAATCCCACTAGGGGCCTGGCAAAAATCAGGAATGGCCCCAAAATCCCACCAGGGGCCCAGCAAAAATCAGGAATGGCCCCAGAATCCCACCAGGGGCCTGGCAAAAAGTGGGAATGGCTCCAGAATCCCACCAGGGGCCTGGCAAAAATCAGGAATGGTCCCAGAATCCCACCAGGAGCCAGGCAAAAACTGGGAATGGCCCCAGAATCCCACCAGGGGCCTGGCAAAAATCAGGAATGGCCCCAAAATCCCACCAGGGGCCTGGCAAAAAGTGGGAATGGCCCCAGAATCCCACCAGGGGCCTGGCAAAAATCGGGAATGGCCCCAGAATCCCACCAGGGGCCTGGCAAAAATCAGGAATGGCCCCAAAATCCCACCAGGGGCCTGGCAAAAACTGGGAATGGCCCCAGAATCCCACCAGGGGCCTGGCAAAAAGCGGGAATGGCCCCAGAATCACACCAGGGGCCTGGCAAAAATCAGGAATGGCCCCAAAATCCCATAAAGAAACAGGAGTGGCCTCAAATCCCACTGGGGTCCCAGCAAAATTTGGTACAGCCCCCAAAATCCCATAAGGGTACAGGAATGGTCCCAAATTCTGCTGGGATCCCAGCACAAACTGGGAATGGCCCCCAAAATCCCATAAAAAACTGGGAATGGCCCCGGATCCCACTGGGATCCCAGCAAAAAGAGGGAACGGCCACAAATTCTGCTGGGGTCCCAGCAAAAACTGGGAACAGCCTCCAAAATCCCTCTGGGATCAAAGATTGGGAATCACCCCCAAACCTCCCCTGGGGTCTCATAAAAAGCCAGGAATGGCCCCAAATCCTGCATAGATTCCAGCAAAAACTGGGAATGGCCACAAATCCCACTGGGATCCCAGCAAAAACTGGGAATGGCCACAAATCCCGATGGGATCCCAGCAAAAACTGGGAATGGCCCCGAAAATCCCATTAAAAAAACAGGAATGGCCACAAATCCTACTTGGATCCCAGCAAAAACTGGGAATGGCCCCCAAAATCCCATTAAAAAAAACAGGAATGGCCCCAGATCCTGCTGGGGTCACAGCAAAAACTGGGAACAGCCCCCAAAATCCCTCTGGGATCAGAGATTTGGAATCGCCCCTAAATGCCCCTGGAATCTCCTCAAAAACCTGGAGGTGCCCCCAGACCTCCCCAAAGATTGGGAATCTTGCCCCAAAACCCCCCTGGGACCGGAGACAGGGAATCACTGCCGGACCTCCCCGAGATCCCATCCAAACCTGAGAATCGGGAATCGCCCCAAAATCCCCCTGGGATCCCACCAGGGATGGGTGGAGCGATGGAGCCCAAACTAGGACAGCCCCAGCGCCCCAGACTTTGCCCACCCCGTTTTTTGGAAGCTCCACCTGATTTTGGGAAGCCCCACCCCATTTTTTGGGAAGCCCCATCCCAGTTTTTGGGAAGCCCCACCCCATTCTTTAGGAAGCCCCACACGATTTTTGGAAGCCCCACACGATTTTTGGGAAGCCCCAGCCAGGTTTTGGAAGCTCCACCTGATTTTTGGAAGCCCCACCCCATTTTTTGGGAAGCCCCACGCCATTCCCGCTCTCCCGTCCTCTCCCAGTTCGCCAAGTCCATGGTGCTGGACTTGAGACCTCACTCAGT